GAGCAAAAACAACTGGGCACCTATCTCTACCTCCTCATACATGTGAGCCATTGGTGGCAGCACATAGGCCAGGGGGATATCAGGGTCCAGGATCCTCTAAAATCAGGGAGTCAGATGCTCCAGGAAGGAGGAGCTTTCATAGATGACATTATCCCCTGGAACTGTTCACAAAGATGGTACCTCAAGAACCTTGGGAGAAGAGGCTGGGCCGGTGAACCTCATTCCTATGGAAAACTGTAGGGTGCAGAAAATCATAAGGTGTAGTGACCAAGGATTATTAAGGGAGAGATTTGTGTACCCTAGATATCGACAGCCAGGGAAAAGCTCTGTCTACCCTGCCATGGTAATAACTCCACCTCTATTCTCCTTGGTACCTCAATGCCAGCTGCCAAGATCCCATATAGTGTGAATAGAATTACTTATGCTTCTCTTCCTTTTCCAAGGCCTACAATACCTGTCAGATATCCTACTGAGTTTCTAATCCAATTATTCCCTCCATACTTATTGAATGGATGTCTTTTATGTGCAAGTTACATACAAGGGTCAGTTCAAAGTGTGTCTGCAGAGCTGAGGCTGATCACCAGATCTTGAGCTAAATGAATGATCATTTTCTTGATACCAATGACCATCTGGGCCACTTACACAAGTTGACTTCTATGACTCATTAGTCAGATATCTCCATCCTTTGTATTTAATAAATATTTACTGAATTTATTATTCTCGTCACTTTGACCTTGGTTTTAGCCTCAATGCTGAAACCTAGAATACACAGGCAGTCGTATAGCCTGTGACACATTTGGCAGACTACTTAAATTGTTTGCACCTGGCTGGGGAAAATGTTATTAATAGCAATAACAATACCAATAATAGCTACTATTTAGCACTTAAAGATTTGTAAAGTGCTATGCTTATTTCAATCCATTAATCAATAGGTGCCTACTATGATCCACTTAGCAACTCTGTGAGGTCAGTGCATTTACTATCCTTGCTTTACAAATGAGGAAACTAAGGCCAAAAGGGTCCTGACTTGCCTTGGGTCACAAAACCAAGTAAGTATCTTCTGTAGGATTCAAACCCAGAAGTTCATTTCTACGCAACTAGAAGGGTGCCTCTATTTCAACAGAATATACCTTGATTCAATCAATAGGCACACATTAAGTATCTTCACGTGCCAGGCACTATTAGGAGTTGGGAGACATAAGGACTAAAGTAAATTAGTATCTATCTTCAAGGTCCTTAAAGTCTGCTGATTAGAAAAAAATTCCCACATAATCGAATCTGAATTAGTAAGGAAACCACTGTAGAACTGCTTTAAATCTCTACTGTTCTATTCAAATATATTTTGAAATATTCAAAGAAAAAAAGTAATGATGCTAAAAGAAAGAAGTTAATTTATCAGAGTCCAGGGCCAGGTCTCGCAGATAGATCAATCCTTTTTTCCATGAGGGCTTCTTTATTCGTTATTTCCATAATTTTTGTTAATTTTACTTTATTGATGTTATTTCATTATATTTTTTAAATTATGCTTAATATTTATTTTATTTTTTATCTAAATTGAAAATTAGATATGAAAGTTAGGGCTGTTAGTTGCAATAAGTGATATCCAAGCACAGCCTCCTATGAAACTTTTTTCTTTAGGGAAGGAGGTGTAAAACACGCAGCCTGCAGGCCGCCATATTTGGCCCACAACACTCCTGCCTGCTACCAGAATCAGATTAAAATGTAATTGGGAAATATTTAACAAAGTAAATAAAACTAAATGAGCTATAGGTAACATTACATTTTAAAACTAAGTCAATATGCAGCCTTCAGGGATCCTTATGCATGGATTAGTGGCCCTGTTTATATTTGAGTCTGACACCATTGATATAGTGGACAGAGCATTGGTCATCGAAGAAAACCTGAATTGAAGTCTGATTCTGATACTTTCCAGCTGTTTGACATTTTGAGCCTCAATTTCCTCATCCATAAAACGGGCAAAACAACATTTGCTTCAACTACATTGCAAAATTGCTTTTAAAAAAGTTTCCCTTTAACAGTAAACTGCAAGGCATTATATAAATGTGAATTATTACAATTAGCAATGAATTTAGTCCTACACCTGCTCTTTTTTTTCTGCTTTCTCTTTTCCTTCAGGAGAAGTGAGGTGGAAATAGATAGAACAGCATTTTCAAATGCAGCGTAATAAAGAAGAAATTGCTGGTGTATCAGAGTCAAATTTCGCTTTGGAGTGACTGGGGTTGGTAGTTAAAACCTTCCAGAACTAATTAGGAGTTAAGAGTGTGCTTAACACCTTCTCTCTGTAAAACTGTAAGTATAAAGTCGGAGGCTGCTGGAAAGTCACTGGTCCCAGATGCTTCTTAATCTTAGAAGTCCAGAGCTGGGAGCTGGGAACAGGGCATGTGCCACTGAGAGCTTCTGAGGTTAAGAAGAGGTTCTTGATTAATTTGTTACAGCATTCAGCCTCTGGAGTCAACCCAGGGTTAATATGTTAAGCAATAACTAATGATACTCAAAAGTTCAGTGAGAAAGATACTAGAGTATACCTAGCTGTTAGTATTTCTTTCAATTTTGCTCCCTCCCTATTATGGATTTACTTTTTTAAATTTAAAAGTCCATTCAATGAAATTATATTTACTTTTGTAGATCTTTGATCATGAGATGAAAGAGCAGATTTCATTATTTCCTGGATAATATAGCAGACACCATTGTGGGTTCAGAGTAGGTGCAGAATGGAGGTATTAAACACGTGGCCTGTTAGCCACATGTGTCCTGCACCACTCCTAAGTGAGGCCAGCACCAGATTAAAGTGTAGTTGAGAAGTATTTAACAAAATAAATAAAAATACAAAAAAAGTAGATAACATTGCATTTTAAAACTGTCGATCTGGAAGCAGGCAGGGTTCCTGTGCAGATGTTTCTATTTGAGTTTGACACCAGTAGTATAGAGCATGCATTGTAAATACAAATCTGTATAGTTCACAAAAATTAATCAATATCCAAGAACCGTATTATCAATCAATTAACCCACAGGTACTAATTAAGCACCTATTATGTCTACCTACTGTGGTGCCAGGGATGTAAATACAATGAATACAATCCCTATGTGCAAGGAGTTTACCTTCTAATGGAAGAGGCAAGTACACATATAAGAATATATAGAATAAAGGAACAAAAACAAACCAATCAGTCAGTCAATTCAGTCATATCTGATTCTTTATGACTCATTTGGAATTTTCTTGGCAAAGATACTAGAGTAATTTGCCTTTTCCTTCTCCAGTTCACTTTACAGATGAGGAAACTGAGGCACACAGGGTTAAGTAACTTGCCCAGGGTCACACAGCTAGTAAGTGTCTGTGGCCAGATTTGAATTCAGATCTTCCTGAATCCAGGCTCAGTGCTCTATCCACTGAACCACATAGCTACTCTATACAAACCAATACAAAGTAGTTAACTAAAAGGTAATTTGAGAGGGAGGGCAGTAGCAATTGAGAAATTCAGAGAGGTGATAATTGAACTGCATCTTGAAAGATGAGAAAGAAGGGCATTCATTCCAGACCAGGTAATGGCCAGTGCAAAGCCTGGGAGAAGGAAGATGGGGTGTTGTGCAGAAGAACAAAGACCAAGTCAGTTTGGTTGTATCACAACATGGGTGGGGCGGAAGGGGTTCCCATGAGTCTGGAAAGAGAGGTTAGAACAAGGTTGTGAAGGGCTTTCTATTTAAACAGAGAGTTTGTATTTGATCTGGGAGGCAATGGAGTTAAGTGAGCCTGGTGTGGTAGCCCTGTTATCAGAAAGGACAGGGATAATGATAAAACTGAAGAAGCTGGCTGCTGACCCCTGAAGGAGGGCTGCATCGTGATATCACCACTGCAGTGGTTTACAAGTGGTTGGCATTATCAGGAGGCAGGATGGACTGTTAAAAATAACTAGCAGATTTAACTAGGCTAGCTATACCTTCCATGACTTGGGAGTTTGGATGGTTGGCAGAATGAGAGGAAAAAGCCCTTAGATGGCAGAAGAATAGAAGGATATAGTCTGGGTTTCCCAAGGACAAAATTCCCTGATGTGGGCATATCTCTGTGTCACCTCCTCAGGGTGCTAAACACCAGGGGGAGTCTGGGCATCTACACGGGCCTTCCCCATGTTTGGTGCCTCATGGCAATGCCTGATGTGGTCATACCTTTGTGGCAAGGGATCAGAATCGTAGGATTCACCTTTGTGAAGAAATGGCCTTTTTCAGAGGCAGCTTTGTCAGATTTCAGACCCCAGACTTGTGAGGGTCCAGACATAATGCCTATATAGGGTCGAGCAGTGTAATGTATTCTGAGGACAGAGGCCATTGTTACCTTTACAGGTAGAATGATGAGGTGGCATAGCTGAAAATGTCCAATTTGTGTGTTATCTAAATAGGTATAGACATGGTGGGCAACACATCACACGAGATACAAAAGCCTATTTTTTTTCCTTTGTGTAATCATTTTTTCCAAATAACAAGCATTTCTCTTCCTCTCACACCACCCTCCCCCAAAGAAAAATAAAACCTTGCAACAAATATGCGTAGTCAAGAAGAACAAATCCCTACATTGGCCATGTCCAGAACTATATGTCTTATTTTTCAACTTGATTCCACCCCTTCTCTGTCAGGACATGGGTAGCATTCTCTAAAATCACTGATGATCATTGCTTGTTCAATTAAAGTTCTTTCAAAGGTGTTTTTTTACATTGTTGTTGTTTTGGTATAAATTGTTTTCCTAATTAATGTTTTGAGCGTCTTTTCCTTTCACCCCACTCCCAGCTTGTCTACCTGCTCTAGGTTGTTGTTGTTTGTCCTTCATTTTCAGAGGACCAGTGACATCATGGGGTGATGTCTTGACTTGCTCATGAATTGCATTCAAGTGAGACAGAGTACAAAGTCACCAATCTCACTCTCTCTTCCAGAGTCATCCAAGTCCAGTGGCAAGACAAAAGTTGAGATGACTGGCAATGGCCCAGGATGCAGTGGATGATCTTGGCTTCTTCGATGTCTGACCAAGCTCTGAGTGCTCCATGGTGTCTGCTTCAGCCGCTTTCATAGACTTTGCAACAAATTGTCCTTATCCACCCATTTCACCAGAAGAAGCCTTCACACACTTGGGTTAGACAGACCCCTAACACTTTGATGGGTTTATGGCCTATCACTTACCCTCAACCTGGTTGAGTCCATCTGCTGAGATGGTTTACCAGGGTGTGACTGCTGCACAAGCTTCTTGGAGCCACAGGTGAGACTTAATGCTAGGTGGACACCAAACATAGATGAGTAGCCTTGTTCAGAAAGCCCTCACACCAGAGATGCTGGTCCTCCCTGAACACTCCATACACTCCCTGCTATAGGCACAAAACTGGCAAACTCTGTTGTAGAATAGAGCACTGGTAGAGTGTGTGGAGAGAGAAATATAGGGTGTTCCCAAAGTCTTAGAGTACAGTTAAGCTTGGGGATATGCTGTATACATTACAACGGCAATAGAATGAGAGAACTTGAGCGTTCCTTGCGTATTTCATAGAAAGATCTGGCATTTGACACTTTTCCTTTAGGTTTACTTGATAATACACTCCTAAGGCCATACTCAATCCCAGATGTTTCCTCCACAGTTCTATCTTTGATTGACTACCAATGAGCCCTTTCTTTTCATTTTTCACCATTCTTTTATTTCAAATAGTGACTCATTGTCTAAAATGTTTTTGTCTTTTTTTTTTTAATGGAAAAATTTAGGGTTAGGTTCTAATCTCACTTCACCAAGGTCTTTTAAAAAATGTTGCCACTTACCACACAATTTCTAGGCCTTCTAGACACCCACCAGTGCTCAATGTTTACCTAAGCATACAATTTGGGGTGGACAAACTGGTATATGTTAAATAATCCCACAACCTCTTCCCCTTTTCTCTGAGTCTTCACCCACACTGAAACAAGATCGCTGGGTTTTTTAAGTTTCATGAAAGTTTGGCTGGCTTTCTCCCTCCCTCTTCTAACTCAGATTTTTTTTTTTCTTTTTTTGGTCCGTTGGAATCTGTACCACTAGAAACACTAGTGTTAAATGGTCTAACAGGAAAGGTTGGCTCCCGAGGAATATCCCAGGCAACTAAGGGCAGGAAGTCACCAGCATCTCATGGTGAAATTCTCTTGAGGTAAGCTTCCAACCCAGTTGTTCACACCCACACATCCAGAAAGGTGGGGAAGCCAGTGGTTCTGTGGGATGCCAACTTGGAGTGTTCCATTGGAAAGTAGTTAAAAAGAAGAAGATATGGGGGCAGGGCAAGTTAAGAGTGGGCCTGCAACAAGACATTTTTTATGCAAAATTTATTGATGCAAAATGAATCTAGGCTAACCCTACCCTTGTCAGTGGCAGGGACAACAGACATTCAAAAAGACCTCCGAATTAAGGGAGACTCATAGGACAGACCTCTCCCCACCTCCAAAGCCATAATGCTACTCTTCCCTCAGCAAGGAGCTATGTTTTTGTGAAGCTTTGTTATCCCAATGGGTTTAGAAATACTGGTTGACCCCACTTCAGCAGTTTCAGTGACCAGGGGAAATTTATTGCTTCCTTGACTTTGTGACTCTGGTGGGTCCTTAGGAGATGTGGCTGAAAAATGAAATCCAGATGGCACTAGGGGAGACGTTTCTAATGGCCCTCCTGCTGCGGTGTCGCCTTTGGAAGAATGCCTCTCTCGACTGACAATGAGGCCACACAGAACCATCCTATGATACAGGCCCTTGTAGCCTCAATTATGGCAAAAGGGACCCATTTTGGTCTAGTTCCATAGTGCCCAGCAAAGTCAAACCCACAGTGCTAAAAATGAGCGAAGAGGGGATACAGCCAGAGGAGAATCAACAACGCGTTCCTGTATGTCTTTTAAGTTCTCGGATAAGTCTGAATGGAAACAGTCTAGGTGAATCTTGAGTCATTATCCCATCAGGAACCCAGCAGAACTGACTCCTATTATTGAACATGAAATAACATATTGAGCACTAGCCAGCAAGAGCCGGCAAGTTTTCTTGGCCAATCTCCTCTAACAATTCGCCTTGGGACATTCTTAATAGTCTATACCGGCCTTTCATCCTGCCCATTCGCTTGAGGGTGATGAGGTATAATAGCTCAGATTAGACTCCTGTCCACAAACACCTTAAATTGGGGAGGTAAAATGCAGACCCGTTGTCAGAAAAAATAGCGTATTGCAGATCCATCCCGAAACATCTTGCCATTGACTTTCTGAACATGATGCAATTCCTAGGCTTCACTGTTGCCTGGATAATCAAGACCACCTGGTTCCAGGTGAAATTGTTTTTTCACTGACAGTTCTTGGGCTTCCTTAGGATGGATTTTGAATTTCTTAAGGTGACCTTTTTTTTTTTTTCCAGAACCTACATTCTGTAATCTTGGATATTCAAACAGAGCACTGTTATAAACTTCTACATCCTAAGAAGGGGCTGATGTGTGTTGGACTGATCTGAAGACATTACAAAATAGGCATTTCTTACATTCTGCTGACCCTATTGGCAATAACTCTGCTGGTAATTTATAGAAAGTAGAGATATTGTATTAGAAGCTACTCCAAAAGGACATATCCGTGATGCAGTCTCCTTGGGATTATTAAAGAATTTCCATTTGGGTTCAGCCAAAGGAGTGCTCTTACGGAATTTCATATATAAGGCAATCCCACCAGAGATTATTTAAAGAATACCACAGCCCCCACCAAACAGTTGTCGAGGCACTAAGCCCAGTTCTATAATATAACAATAATATAATATAAACAAAAGAGACTGTTGGTTCCATTTATGAAATTTATAACTATGAACAGTGAGTGATAATTCTGGCTGGTGAGAAGTGCATTTTTTGATAATCCTATACATTTATCATATGTCTTAATCTGATGAGAAATAGAAGAGGTCTAAAAAAAAAAAAACCTCTTGTTATGGTAGGTGTTTGTGGCCAGCAGACCCCGCCCCCCACCTAGGCACCTCCCCTTTCTCCACTTCCTTTTGTGTGTCAGCTTCACCTATTAGATTGTAAACTCCTAGAGATTAAGACTGTCTTTTCATTTTTCCTATTTGTAACCCTAGCATTTAGCATAGTGCTTGTCACATGGTAGGCATATTTGTTGACTTGACTTGACCCTCAATTATATTTGCTTTAGGATAGCATGAAATTCTTCCAACATGAAAATCTTAGGATGCTGAATATTTCCAGCCTCTTTAACATGCCCCCAAAGAAACCATTTCTTAGCACAGGATTGTTTCAGTTAAGAGTAGATGTAGATAGATGGTAATAGTAGATAGAATGCTAGACCCAGAGCCCAAAAGACATAGGCATGAATCCTTTTGCAGACTAACCTGTTTTCCTAGGCAAGTCACCTAAAACCTCTGAGCCTTAGTTTCCCCATCTGAATGTAGCACCTCCCCCAAGTTTCTAGAGACTAATGAGACAGTTCACTTTGGGAAGGGGGGTAAAAGAACAAGATTTTGACAGTCAGTAAATCCTAAACCCAACACCCCTGGGCAAGATCTGCTGCACCCTCTTGTCAAGATATTTTCTTATTAATCCATGGAAACTGGTAGGAGAGGCTACATGTAAAATGATAATAATAACAGCATAGACCTCATAGGTTTGTAGTGAGTATCAAATGAGAGGATATGTATAAAGTGTTGCTATTTAAATACAAGCTATTCTCATTCTTAATTATTTAATTTTTGTTGCTATTGTCCAATTTTTTTCCTATTATTGGAGCCCATCATGAGTAGCACAAAAGATTCTGTTAGATTGCAATAAATCACAAAGAATAAACAGACTTTCAACAAGGGAGTTTTCTTCTTGCCACACTAGGCCTCTTTAAGCCCCATTAAGTAGCTGTGGTATACAAATACAGGAACTCAGATGGACCCAAATCCACCAACACTGAACTACAGCACCATCTGCCATACACATCAATGTCTTGGGAATCTTTCTCTGGATCAGACAGACAAAATACTGAGAGTAGAACCCAGGAGTTTGCCTCCGTAAGTAACCTGGGAACTAATAGGTCATTCCCTGGCCCTGAAGGAAGATTTGCCGGTAGTCTCTGCAAAGCATCATATTTTGACTAAACCAGATACCAAATTATCTTCCTACTGACTCTCATCTCCCCTTTTGTTTTCTCGGCACATTCACATACTCCACATCCATAAGAGATCAGGGAAAAATTTACAGACATCTCTCTTCACACTAACAAAGTGAATGTGGGACCATGGAATGGCACTGGTCCAGGAGAAGCCACAAATTGCAGTATCATGGGGTTCTTTCTAGGTCTAAATAATCTTGTGATCCAAGTTCCAACTCCAGTTCTGCCAATGAGTGCCTACGTGACTTCAGGCAAGTCACTTAGCCTTTCTGAGCCTCAGTTACTAAATATATAAAATGAAGTGATTAGAGCATATGACATTCCAGCACCAAATCTATGATCTAGGTCTTCCAAAGACCAAGGTTGGCTCTTGAGGAATGGTAGATTGAGAGCTGGAATAGAGTCATAAGAAGGCATTGAGTCTAACTTCATTGTCCAGGTGAGGAAACTAAGGCACTGACAGATTAAGGTACTTGCCCAGAATCACACCAGAAACAAATGTCTAAGGTGGACATTTAAATTTTAATTTAAATTTAAAATTTAAATCCTAAGGTGGGATTTAAACCCAAGTCTTCTAAACTATACTCCCAAGTACTTCCTATTCAGTATACCACAGTGCTTCTGCCAGATACAGACATAAACCCACAAAGGTGTATATTCATTTATATATAAATAAGTGGGAAAGGCCAATATTTGGTAAGGAGGATAGAGCTAGCCTAGGTGTCGAGACGCCCAGGGTTCAAATCCCACCTTTGATTTTTGCTACCTACGCATGTCACTGAGTTTCCAAAGCATTTTAAATTACATAAACTAGTATTTTTCTTTTCAAAAGCAAAACCAATCATTGTGTAAATTTTGAGAAAGAGAGAGTTGTGGAGGAATCTTTCTTAAGAAATTCAAACTCAATTCTGTCTAGTAAAATATACACGGTGTCCCAAAAGTCTCAGGGTAGCTTGATATTTTTTTTTTGTACTTTGATATTTACTACCCATGTGATCTTGAGCAAGTTATTTCATTTCCATGGCCATCATCCATAAAATGGAGGTTGGAACAAATAGCATCTGAGATTGTTTCCAGCTCAAAATCTAGAATTCTGTGATGTCTCGGGTAGTCTCTTGATATCTCAGGTGACACTCTAAGATTATAGGTAAATATAGCTAATATATACATATAGCTAAATAAATGTAGTTAAATATTTCCTGATCTGTCTCAGCAAAAAGGAGTTTCATCACTAAGAATTCACTACAACAATGAAATAAGATGGTACAAATTACACATATATGTATATATATGCTATATATAACATGTAATATATGTAATTACAATACATTATTAGAATATGATATATTGTATAATGGAATATCATAGAATATATAACATCATAGATATAATTTGTGCCATTCTATTTCACATAAATGCATTGCATGTATAATTTATATATTACAATAATATAGGCAGATATGTATATATGTGTGTGTACATACATTCATATACAAAGAATCTCAAAAGCCTTAGTTTTAAGAAGCTTAAAAACCTACCCTGAGACTTTTGGGACACCTTCTATATTTTGCCAGACAGAATATAGTCTGAATTTCCTAAGAAAGAATTCTCCACAACTCTCCCTTTCCCAAAATTTACATGGTGGTTGGTTTTTGTTTTTGAAAAGAAAAACAGAAATAGTGTAGTTTACCTTCGGAGTTTGTATAATTTAGAATGCTTTGGAGATTCAGCGACTTACGCAGTAGTCGACGATGTCATAGTATGAGCCACCATTATCCAGAGCAAGCTGATCTGAATATGGAAGCAGGCATTTTTTTTCTTGGGATTATTATAGCCTTTGGCTAGATCTATTTTGGTCTGGTCTCCTTTCCTCCTAGGAGGAAAATAATGAGAATCATTCTCCTGGAGAAGATTGAGAATTTGTTGACTCAGAAAAGGGAAATGCTAAATATACAAGTGGTTAAGGGACTTCAGTGATCTCAGCACCAATGGGTGTCATAGACAAACCAATGCAGACTACAGTTCAGGAAGAGGGGCTCACCAAGTGTAGGGCTTGAAGTGACTCTCTGTGGGCTTAAACTACTATAAGCCCAGGATGGGAGAAATAAAAAAAAAAAACTGTTGGGTCATCCAAATTAAACTTAATTGGCATTGTGGGAAAGCTTCCTTTCCACAAATCAGCCCACACTGTGTACCTTTGTATAAACCAAGTGAGGGATGTCATGGGGGGGGACTAAAGATGTGGGGCAGCTGTGGGTCAAATTTTCCATTACTGACTATCAGTGTGCGACAAAGTCACGAGGCAAAGCCTAAGACAGCAATGTGAGTCAGTGTTATGGGGGGCAGTAGGTTGGGAAGGGGAAATGAATGGACTTGTTGCATTTTAATACTGTACAAAATTCAATAATCCCTATGATTTCCTGGTTGAGTTCTGTCTTCTTTCAGAGCATGCCTTTTAAATTTTTTTTGTTTGTTTATAGGTCTAGGACAATTTGTTTTCTACTTTTATAATCGTTGTCAATAATAATAATGCCACATTTTTAGGGTGCTTTTTGGCTTAGAGAATATATTCTGCACAATAAATTCTTCATGCATTATCTTGTTTTATCACCTCCCAGATGACTGAAGCCATTTCAATAATGAGCATCCTATCTCTTTTTCCCAATCTTTATCAGTGAACATTTAAAGAAATGACTCATTCCTGTAGACTTCAATGACCTCTTTCCCATTCAGCCTCCGGGCACTGATCATCTTTGGTTTCCTTCAATTGTAATTAAAATGCTTTGGGTATTATGCCCAGTGTATTTCATCCACACTGAGTAAATCATGCCCTGAAGAAGATATGAAATTCGATCATGAATGTATTTTGACAAACAAATGGCACTGTTCTCAACTCATTATCACCTACTTATTCATCTTGTTGACAATGATTTAGAGAGTGCCCACTATGTGAAAAGAACTTTCAGAGCTTTAAAAATGTTACTGTTCATTCTGAAATTATAGAATTCAAAGGGATACGTACTTTTGGAAGAGAAAGCTACATGGGCACATCCACCCCTTTTCCAAAAGCAACAGCCTCCTAGGAAGGCTTGCCAATGCACTGTGCAGAATGCACTGCCATTTTCACTAACTCTTTACTTAGTACTTTTATCTACATTTCTTTATCTTAGCATCACTCTCTCTGTTCCCATTTGCTTCAGAAAAGCTCTTGACAAGGGAAAGGTCAGGGACTCCAATACATGTATTTAACCTTGGAGCTACATTTTCCCACATCCAAAAAAATCTAAGTGAAACCAAATTGGATGAATGCAGAGCTTGTAGGCTTCTTGAAAATCCTGTTGAAGGCTTTGGAAACCTGCTCTTTGTCACAAACAGGAAGATGAAACATCCTTTGAACTATATACAAGTATGGAATTTGCTGCTGTTCTTTCTGCATCTTCTATGCTCATTGAGATGTAATAAAAGGGCCTGAATTCTGATTGCTCAAGCTAGTTCAGAGACGTGGAAAGGGAGGGAACGAGGGCCAGTGGCCTCATAAAAAACTATATTAGGCCAATGTTGCTAGCAGAACAATGCACACACCTCTTGCTGACTTCTTCAATCAAAAAAAAATCCCACCATACAACTGCTCTAAGAAACTACCTGGAAATTTCCTAGTATATTGGACAATGGGACTGGTTCAGCATCAGCACCATCACTGGTTAAGTAAGTTTGAATATAAATGGGCACAGCAGAGAAAAACAACTATTTTCCCCTTAGATTATGTTTTTTTAATTTTTTTCAGTTAACAAAAATCTGTTTTCTCTACCTCCCACCACC